CAAATGAGCGTTCTTGCTCATTTTGCCTCCGAGATATGAGCAAAAACGGGCCGGAAAACATGAAATTTTGGCATAATCTTGCACCGAAGTGTCTGATATTCAAATTTCTCTTTCTGGGTCAAAACTATTCGAATTTCCTCACTAACATTGTTACGACTGAATGGGCTTTTCAATTCTCTATCCAACGATGCCAAAACGAATTCTGTAGCTCGAATGGTTCTTGAGAAACTTCGAAAAAAGCAGCCTGTCATGTTCAAGTGGATTTTGCAACTCAAAAAAACCCACGTAAATCTAAAACTTCTTGAATTCAAGCATTTTTCTTATCGATGGTTCACTTTCTAAAAAGGCCATTTATTTCTCTCTAGAATCTCGAAATCCTGTATATTTAGATCATTACATATTGCAGTGTTCCTGTAAAGGCTCCACCCGATCCAGATGCTCCAGAGCGCACAAAGACATTGTTTGCCTCTATTCTTGGAAGCGATCCAGACAGCAGCTCTCTAGTCGGCAGAACACTTTTGTGACCAATTCGGAAGTACAGACAGAAACTGTGCAGATAAATAGTAAGGAACAGTGATTGACGCCCGAAACGCACTGGAGAAAGTGCAATTTTCTTCGCAGATGCACACAGACAACAGTATTATTGTATGATATTTAATAAATGGTTCAGATAGTCTGAAAATGCGCTAATTAGGAAACATTCCAACTGTCCTTGTTCAACAATTGTCCGCATTTTTCCACGCCGAAGGCAACTGATAAACGAAGCCAATCTCAGAACGGTTTTCATCGAAAATAAGCGATAAAAAAAATTGCATGTCAGAGTTCAAAACATGTGAGGCCTTCATGAATATGCACTTATGTTCATCTGCATCGGGCTTGGCTGCGTCGAAGACGCCAGTGACCGTCCAAGATGTACAAAGTGGTGATTGTGGCTCTCCTGTTACAAGTTTCCCACACACAAAGTGTGCCCACTTTTAAGGGGTAAGTATACAAAAAAATGTTTTTTCGCACCTAATTTATGTGCAAAATAAATGAATATCAGCCAATGTTTACGATTCTTCCTTATTTTGCTCAATCGACTAATAATTCGAGCTTTTAGCTCTGGATTGCGCTTGAAGTGAAAGTTTCTCCTGGGTAGCACTGTGTTGAGGTGCGCCATTGAGTTGTCGCCGCTCTCTGAGTTAACGAGTTATAACTCATCGGTAAATGAGTCTAAAAATCTTAAAAAAGGGCCATCAACATTTTTCTCAGTAACGTTTTACTACTTTGTTCAACCAACTAAAAAAAGTCATGTAGATTTTCTTTGCAACAGAACTGAGTCCAAAGAAAGTCGACGAGTTTTCTTGTAAAGTCGATTTCTTAATTTGTTTGCATAAAAGATTCAGTTTTTTACAGCAAAACTTTAGGAAAAACGTGGTTTTTCTGTTTAGAGACAGTGTTGTTTAGAAATGTTGACCTAAAAGTGAAGAAACTCCAGTTTCCAAATAATTGATTATAAAATTTGGGTTTTTCAGTTCGGGGAAATGTTTTTGGAAAAAGACCCAGAAATAATTATTAGGGTTTTGTCCATGGTTCGAAGCTGCAAAAAGTTTTCCAAACATTTTGGCAAAGCGGTTAAGGAGGCGAGTGTTCCAATAAAATTTATCCAATAATTTTTCACAGAAAATACCTGAAGATTGCCAGTATTTTAAGGAAAACTAAAAAATAATGCGATTTTTGCGTAGAAAAATTGCTTTATAGGAACTTTGCTACAACTGGAGAAAATCCTCAGAGCGATGAGGGCGGCGAATTTTCCCAATAATGTTTTGTAAACTTCTGCTTTCTGGTCGTTTTTTTTTCAAGATAGTCCTAATTATTTAGTTGCTAGCGCTACTGAGTTGTCGCCGCTCTCTGAGTTATAACTCATCGGTAAATGAGTTATTAGTCATTTATTAAAGCTTTGCAAGACCCGCGACTGGAATTTAAAAAATATTAAGTAAAAAGTCATCAACATTTTCCCAGCAACGGAACTGAGTTTGCAGTGGCGCACCAACACATTTGCGCCGCACGGCGCCAACTCCGAAAAATTGACTGAGTTGCCCAGGCCCTGGACAATCCTACCGACTGCGCCAAGTTCAAATAACGTCTCTGGACCCCCTGTATGGTGTTCCAATCCAAATAAAGACCTTTGATACTTATCATTAATGGGACAGAACGGATTTTTATCATATATAAACCTTCCCACTCGAGTTACAAAAAATTCTAACTCATCTATAGATCATTTATTTGTGAAACAAAAACTAAGAAGACAAGGCCTGAAACTTGGGTCAAGTCGGCTGAACAGCGATTTGACTGATCCCTACCCAATTTTTCTATACATAAATTTTGAAAGAGATTTTTCTAGGGAAAAAACAATGTGCCAGACCGTGGGGTCTACATAGATTATGAGATGTTTAAAGAAAAAACATCGATGGTAAACTGGAACAAACTCGTTAGTTGTTTCGACTCCAATGAAGCGACTAATAAATTCATAAATTTATTTGTTGATGTAAAAAAATCAGCTACAATAGTACGGAAAATTAAGTTTAAAAATAATTAAAAAAATGAAAGATTGGATTAGTGATGGGTTGATCAATTCCATTAAACATAGAGATAAGTTAAAGAGAGCACTTTTTAGAAATTATACTTCTGCATTAGAAGCTAAATACGAGCACTACAGAAACTTTTTAAATAAACTCTTAAAACGACAAAAATATCACGATTATAAAAATCAAATAGAAAACAACAAAAACAACCTGAAAAAAATATGTAAAATAATTAATGATGCTACCATAACAGTCTTAACCATAACAAAAAAGAAACAAATTTCTCCATTAATGACACTAATAACACCCCTTTTGACGACAACCTAAGAATGGCTAACTTCTGCAATGAATATTTTGTAAATATTGGAATTGAAATGGCAAAAAATATAAAACCAAAAAGCAATAATACATATGAAGACAGGTGGAATGTTGCTTCCATGTTTATGAATGACTCTGGACTGGACGGTATTTCCACGAAATTAATTAAATTATCAAAATCAAATATTTTGGTTCCCATATCTCATATTGTAAATCCAACTTTCAAAACAGGAATATTTCCAGATTTATTCAAAAAGTCCTTAATAGTTCCAGTACAGAAATCAGGCTCGAAAAAGCTCATAGAAAATTATAGACCAATTAGTTTAATAAATAACTTTGCAAAACTGTTAGAAAAGTGTTCAGAGGACAGACTGGTCAACTTTTTTAAAACATTTAAAATCCTGTCGGACAAACAATTTGGGTTTGTTGAGAATTGCAGTACGGCTGATGCCATGTGCAGCCTGACTTCTGAGATTATTAATAACCTGAATGGAAGCAGAAAATGCTTGGCTATTTTCCTGGACCTCTCAAAGGCCTTTGACACTGTTCCTCATGATCAATTGATTAGTTCTTTGAGACAATATGGTGT